AAGACCATGATTTCAAATTCAGTCACAAGACCGCTTCAAAACTGGAGTGTAAAGGTGGCTAGAGGTGTTTATTGGTGAATTAGATCCAAATGGGGGGACCCACTCCTGATGGGTGGGGCGTTCTCCAAAAATGCAATGCTTCAAAAAAACATTTATAACTCGGTTTGGAGAAAGCCAACATAGCAGGAAAAAGTTGGTGTAGGAGAAACATCGTCGAAGGTGTCTCCAGCATGAATGACGTCAGCGGAGGCCACCCACAATGAGCGGAGCGTGCCTCAAAAATCCGTAACTCCGGTTCCCATGGTCCTAGAGAGTTCAAATTTGATAGGAGTACAGGCGACAGGATGGGAACACTCATGGTGGGTGGCAGGACCAGAATCCGCCCACAAGGGGCGGGGTTTGAGCGGGACTCATAGATCCCGTCCCCGTGGACCCAAAAAGTTCAAATTTGGTAGGAGTACAGGCGGCATGATGGGAAATTTTATGGTGGTGGCAGGACCAGACTCCGCTCACAGGGGCGGAGTTTGGGCGGAATCTCGTAAGTACGATAAAGGTCTATAATGAAAATCAGCTCATTTGGCTTCGTCTCCCATAGCTGGAGCCCCTAGCGCACGCAATAGCGTGCGTGACCGCCTGGTGGCCCAGATAGGGCGTAATAAGGTCGCGAGACCGGCTCAGCTGACGTACACCCTCAATGCAGACGAGCGTTGTAGAGGCCATAGAAGTTGCAGCATTCGCACCCACAAGCGTTGCACGTGTACAGATTACTGCAGCTAGTTATACGCAATGGCATGAACAAATGGGAAGCTCATACAGGTACCCCGCCACTTTCATCGTCTTAATCTTGTGCAACCCTTACTTCCACTACTTTTTTGAAGCCTTGTATTTCTCTAGAATCCCATCTTTGCGTTCTTTCTCCATTTTTCTTCACTCTTCCGGACTACCACGTCCCTTATTTGTCTAAAACCAGATACTCTAGAATTTTCATGAACTGTGCCTTCAATGCGATGTGAGCTTTTCAAGTAAGCTGCTTTACTATGTGGGATGTTTCCGTTCGAAGCTTAAAAGGAATCAAGCGTAACGATACAGCACACTATGTATGACAAACAATGTGTTACGCTCAAGTGCGACCCTTCAAGAAACTGCACGAGTCAACCTATGACTTGCGCTGTACCAGCAGATTTGCTGCAGCACACAAAATCTCCAGTCGAGTACAATCCCGTGTTTAGAAGTAGGAGCAATCACATAAAATTCATTATAGTGAGATACTTAAAATGTAGTTGAAGATTCAGTTCTTTGCATTTAATGTGCTAAGGTTGTCGTGAAGAGTAGTCCTGAAACGACTAATATCGGATTGAGTGCCAACTCTTAGTAAATCAACTTCAACAGTTAATGGGTCCATACCAAATTGACTAATTCATGTCCCTTGAGATTCATCCCTTTAGTTCATAGTCGAGGTTCTTTATATAACGCGGACCTTTGTATTCCGTCATTGAATCCCAATCTAGTGGTTCTGAGTAGCTGAGATGGTATGCCTGAACTCTCACGAATATCACCCTGGAGGAAAGTTACACAACGGTTTACTTAGAAGAAGAGAAACTACAGTATGCTGACGCCTAGGAATATACTTGTCCCTCAAGCGGGCGTGGGTAATACCCAATTAGGCAGGCTGTATTCGAATACAGGAGCATGTTGCACACACTCCGAGGAACTTTCGTTTTACAAGTATCTGGTCGAGTTTTGGCAAGAAAGCTATTAGGAGGGTTAAGAATGCACAGACCTATCGGTCCAAAGATGGGACTATTGACTCATACCTAGCTTCGAAGTTCATGGTTCCAATAAGAACCGTTAAAGTTTCAAGAGTCCTATAAAACAAGGAATCTCCACTTTATAATNCCCGTGAAGCGCCGAGGTCAACTAGCGAATTGGAAGCAATGAAGCCGGAAAATCTGTGAGCGATGCTTTCAGCTATCTCTCATGAGCGTTTGAGTGATTTTTACTCAAAACCGTCTCCGGAATAACTTAAGCTCTGCTCAACACGAACCTCCATAGCAGCTTCAAGATTTGCAGCGATATGGTCATAATCTGGTATAGAATTGTACTCAAGGGTATCGATATACAGCAGAATATTGGCCATATATTCTGATGGCGTATGTTTTAAGACCTTAAACACGTGCTGTAACATATAAGCAACCAAAGACAGAGTACACAGTGAATACCCTAAGACTGAGACCTTTTTTAAGTTTGACTCTACGCGTAGTTGCTGCTTGAACATTTTCACTTCCGCTCGATCAGCTCCCTTAATTATAGGATATTCGTGTTCAAATGACTTGAATGTATTTGAACGGCATCATGCATAGTTCTCTTTCCATATCATAACTGTTTAACTTGACCCTGCACTAATCGCTCCATTTATCGTCTGATGAAAGATCCAGAATTAAGGAGCTTATCAATAAACAAAAACTCAGCTTCCTGTTAACGCTCATCTCAGACGACATTCCATAGCAATGTTATGCTGAGGTATTGTTTACATGTAAACTGTTATCAGACTTGAAGTCCAAAGACGTTTGCGTTAGAAGCTTGTTAGTAATCAAGAAAACAGAACTTACAACACAGAAGGCCAAAAGTGGTCTAAAACGGCACTGAGACTCACACGACAATGCCTCCATGGTAATTGCCCTGTCATCCACTCTAATACCATATACCACCAGGCCTCGACATCGTCCCTTCGGCATTGATCTTTCTTAAAATAAGCTTTGCTTGTTCCACGACAAATCTACTTTCTGCTATAAAAACATGGCACCATTTCAAGAGCACTGATACTAGCATAGCGCGTTGTGCCACGGAATGCTGCCTTCTCCCTCATATATCGAAGATCTTTCTCATCTGTTCTGAAAAAATTGCTACGATCGTGATTCTCGAACTGTTGATGTTCGACAGTGTTCCAGCCCAGTAAATTGGCTCAAAAAGTGTAATCTCAAATAGGAGAGTAAAGAGCTTCGCAGTGCGTTTCTGATAGTACCTTGCCATTCTTTGGTGCTAACGAAGTAATAGTATGGTAAAAACCTACTGCCGTCGCCAACTCTTTCGTATTAGCATCCGATGCGTTTTACAGTTCGTCAATGTTCAAGTTCGGAGCGGAGCTCCCGAGCCCCGACATCAGCCAGTGAATGAACGCTATCTTTAGTTTTCACGATACGCGCCGCACAGGCACATATTGCATGGAACAATACGTTCACCATGAACTCTAACATTGAAGTAGCCGTAGGATGCTCCCAAGCCAGGATTGCAATAAAGGAGCCAAACTGCACACTTCGCACATCCCGTATATGAAAACGCGCATACTGAACAGGGAAAAAGACGACATAACGTAAGGTTTTTCAGTAGAAATCCTATCGAATGTCAGCTAGTTTAATCCACCTCACCTGTAGCGCCTGCACAAGCCAAAGTCTAGGATGTATATAGTTTGCTGAAGATTGTCTTCTTCTCGTCCTATGGCAAAATTCGGTGGTTTGATGTCTCGATGCAGAAAACCACACTGAAAATAGCACATCCTTAGCAAGGCAGAGATGATGGAAATAGGAAAGGTTAGAGCCAATAAGACAGAACGCCCATCCTCATCGTGATTATTGTTATTGGTCACCCTATTTGTGAGGACTTCATTTTCAACATGTAAACCACACTTTTTTCAAAGTTACTGCCATAACCCTCAGTCTTTTTCACGAAGAAGCCTATGCATGCTTCATTATTTCAACAACGTCGTAGACAAGATCCCAGATGTTAGAATTCTTAGAGTTCCAGCCAATCAATCTCGCACATAGACTTTCAATTATTTTAGTCTCGCCTCTCTCGATTCAGTGACAATTCGTTTTGAACCCCAACAAGCCTCTGATCTTGAGAAAGCGAAACTGCACAACAGAGCACCGAAGAGTCAACTTCGTTGTTCAAGGTGCAAGATGTTCCTCATTGAACGACCGCTGCACTTACAAATATTATGTTGTGACACGGAAATTCAATTTGCCACTGTCAAAGAACATTCTACCGCCGAGTCGTCAAAACCCTTGTTTTTCATCTTTGCATGAAGGTTTATAGCAGAAGTAACAACTCAATAACGTCAAATCACTTCGCATACACATCTAGTCCTCACGTATTAATGTGTCCGCCCACGGGTACACCGTCGATGGGGAAGAACTTTTCGCGTACGTGACCTGACAATAAATCGCAGGGCTAACTGATGTTCGATTTACGGTTTTTATCCCTCATGAAGAGTATGATGCCGGAGAAGCGAATTCGCGGGGATCGTTGCCTGGATCATCATGTGTGACACTAGACCACTTGGAAGTATTCCACATCCGCCCTCTTGATCTTGCTATAACAAAAACAAATAATGCTTCTAAAGAATAACGAACTCACAATGTGCACATCTCTTATTCCAGATAATGTCTGCTCGGCTGCCCGTATTGCAGTGGACATTGAGAAACGTCTGTCAACCGATTCCATGCGGAGATCCCATAGGTTTTTCCCAACCTTAAATAGCTGAATCAGTGAAGGCCACTAATCTTGAAGCTTGCTCTACATTTTTAAAATATAGGAGCATTGTACGAGGCATTGATATTGATTTAAGAGGTCACTCCAAGCATCACTAAACGGTCTACCTTACTTTAATAGAAGTTGAATCTAGAGTTAAAACCATCAGGCGTTTATCAACACGCTTCACCGCTTACATTATTAATGGTGAAGAATCCAGTTATCAAGGGAATAGCCTACTCACTATAGCACATCGCTGCGTCCACAATTGGGGAGCCTAATTTTAGTCTAGCTATCCCACGCGATGCTGAGGTCTGAGGCTATCCCGACTTAATGACACCAATCGAAAAGAACTAGAGAGATTTTAGGAGACAGAGTGATGCGTACAAGACTGGAAGCAGTAAGTACAATTGATTAGTGTGCTTAATAACATTGATTAGTAAACTAATCAAGAAGTACTGGACTGTACAGGATTGTCATCGCTAAAATAAGGTTAAATTTCGAATTGATTCAAGGAAAAGTTTATGTCAATCCTACATACCAGTCTAAGCACGACGAACATGAAGCGACCACTAATCTTGCCGCGATCTTCATAACTGATAAAATGAACTGAGCTTATTCTCCGCAAACCTTCCAGCACTCGAGCTTCATGTCTCAGTATCTACAAAAATTTACCCATATTCACAAAATTCACTTCATTCAAGAAAAGATTCCAAGCCACACTCTCNAAAAAAAAAACTAGAGAGGTTTTAGGAGTCAGAGTGATGCGTACAGGACTGGAAGCAGTAGGTACAATTGATTAGTGTGCTTAATAACATTGATTAGTAAACTACTCAAGAAGTACTGGACTGTACAGGATTGTCATCGCTAAAATAAGGTTAAACTTCGAATTGGTTCAAGGAGGCGTTTATGTCAACTCTACCTACCAGTCTGAGCACGACGAACATGAAGCGACCACTAATCTTGCCGCGATCTTCGTAACTGATAAAATGAACTGAGCTTATTCTCCGCAAACCTTCCAGCACTCGAGCTTCATGTCTCAGTATCTACAAAAATTTGTCCATATTCACAAAATTCATGATTCAAGAAAAGATTCCAAGCCACACTCTCCCTCTCTCCTTTTCACACACTTCTTCGCTGTAAGTACTCGTTACTCTTTTGAAGCTGTTTACAATGATGCTATGCTATGATTACATAGCTGATACATATTCTATTCCACTAACAATTTTCCACAGGATGTTGCGGGAGCACGGCGCAAAAGCAATATCTGGCCAAAAAACCTCCGCGAAATCAAAACGAATTTCTTTGCTTTTCTTCGTGGTACGTAGCGAGTAGAAAATCACAGCGATGTAGCGTTGACAAATTGAAATGTCTGCGACTATTCACCCTCCAGCAGGGGTGGCCCCCATAATCTATTCAAAAAAAAACAGGGCTTGATTAAGCCATGTTTCTTTGAATAGATTAAGGGGGCCAACGAGTATTCCTCACCATTTCTAGTTGATTAAGCCAACTAATGAGTGAAACGGGTTCGCAAGGCAACAAAGCAAGAGTTTGCAGTACTGCGCACTCATCGCCGCGAAAGCCGGTCTTGTCCAAAATAGTATGTAGGCAGATAAACGTTGCTGTCGAAGAAATCCGAGAAGTCGAAAATAGCCTCTCCTTTGCCCTTTGAGATGGAGTAACTGTCCCGCCAGGACAACCCTTCGATCTTGATCTTGTAATTAACGAAGCTCCGGCGGACCCTGCGGATAGGTTTCCGGGCCTCAGTTTCTGTATAGCTTCTCAAGTCGGACGCTCGAAGTTGGTGATTGCTTGTAGCTATTCCGCGCTGGAGTGACAGCCCACAAGTCTTCGAAAACAGACGTTCCTTGGCTCTTCTTTCTTATTGGATTCTCTGCTTACTTAACGCTAACAAGGAGATGTTCGACAAGCCAGTCGTGTGTTCCATCGATTTTGTCGATAACGGAACCTTCGCAAAAACTCGCAAAGGATGGGAAGTGGTCCTAGTTGACGACGGTTATAGCAACAGCGGTGTCAGTCAGGCAAAACTTTCCACAGAAGGCTATGTGATCTATATCATTATGAATTCGGCTAGTAGGAACTCCCACGTTCATGGCAAACGAAAGAGCTTTTGGAACTACGAACGAATTGCATGGATGGTGTGGGCTGATATGATGAACCTGAGCAGTCCCTAACCCTGCTTTTTCCATTCCGCTCCCTCCCGATAAGTAGTTCTTCAACCGTTCTACTGAGACCAATCCTGCCCTTAAAGTCACTCTCAATGACCTTCAAAATAGAGTGGCCTTTCGAGAAGCCTTTCCAGATTTATATATGACCTTCCAGCCAGCTTAATTTTGGTGCATAGGCAATGACGATTGTTAGAGCTGGGGTTGAGCCACATCTCTCACTGACGCCCGATTGGTGTTGTGAAGCTTTCGAACAACACGATGATAATGGTCAAGTGTACTTACGTGGACACCTACACCGCCGCTGACTTTTCTGTTCCGAGAATCAGTTCCTCTCCAGCTTCGAAAACGAAAACGAAGGCCTCTGCACCGGGCGATGCTTTCTCGGTCGGTTCGATGACTCGTACTTGCTCTTACTAGCTTGCATCATCAGATTATCGATGCGCGCTTATGATGAAAGCGCTCATGCTTTGAATTGACAGATCATTATAGCGGTCCTTCTACTTTTTGATATCCTGCTTCGGCAATGAGGTTCAAGTAGCCTCTATCGAGCGATCCTCCCCAACGTTGCCGTATTGAGGGCTCACTCAGGCTCAAGGGAATGAGGTCCATATATTTTACTGTTTTTTAGCATAAGAGCATCCACGAGTAGCATGCCAGGCACTGATCTGGGGGTCTCGTCGACTCCGGTTGACTAGCCAGGCTTTCTCATAGTGGACATGGGGCTTTGATTTTGGGGTTGGCTCCGAATCGTCTAACGGACATTTCCCAGGCACTCGAATGCCGCCACTACTACTGTATTCAATAGTTTTCTTTTCGAAATTGACAGTGGAAATGTTAGGGAATAACTGGTACAGCAGCTAATTGCCTTTTCTACGTTTAGCTTCTCAATGTGTTCGCAGATTAAGGACTACAACTATTTACAAAAAACGCTTTCCACTTCATCTTGCCTCTCATTCCTACGATTTATCAGGAATATACCTGCTTTTTAACTTTATATGATTCGCATTTCATTGCTAACTCTTTATTATCTTCCAGACGTCGAACTCGAAACACAGCACCAAACGACCCTTTCCCGAGTATTTCCAGTACCTGCAATAACCAGTTCAGTTGAAGTCTCTCTGACCGAGGTGATACAAATCCAGAATGTACCTCATATGTGCCTTTTTTGCTTTTGATGATGTCTTCGCTCGCCTTCGGCATATCGTTCAATGGATCGTCCTTAGGCATTGCTGCCACATGCGATCCACAGCAGCTCGAGATAGAACTTCACCACAAATCGTGGGAGAACCTCTCTAGAAAGGAGGCACTAAAAAAATGCAACACACCGTACGTTATAGTGTTGCCAAAAGTGCTGATATGCAAAGAGATAAACAAATTGTTAACACATCCCGCTTCTATTGGGCATGAAAACAAGTCAAGCGGTGCCTTAGATCAACATGATGCTTCTACAGCTACGCCTGTGATTAATTGCATTACATACGACTGATCACAACAATGGTTCTTCTGGTTCTTACTTTTGTGGGATCCTGAGACCAGAATGAAAACTTTTGTTGTAAGCATATCCCTCTCTCGATTGCACTCGTTCTTCCGATTTCCTTGTTGTTTAGTACTCAACATCGAATGGTGAAGTGGCAAAGAGAATGACTAACAGACCTCCATTGAATGATTTCCTTGTTTTTTACGTTTTTTACTAACGTACTAATGAATATTGCTCTGCGCGCTGCGTCTGAATTTCATTCATTGCCAGCTTTGTAGACTCTTACCTGTCCAAATGGTCTAGACTACAGGGTTCCATATTAACGCCCTACAAGGGAAGGATTCTAGATCACAGTGGTCATTCAAGATGAGATGCATACCACCGAAATTTTTCAAACGCTGACTCAAATCCACTCTCCACATCTGCTGAACGATTCTCGGATCGAAGTCACGTAACCACTTCTCTTAAGCGTTCTACCACTGCGTCACACACATAAGCGATCGAGTTGTGATTTCATTGTGCGGCGATTGCATACTTGGTACAAAGCCGGGAGACTCACAGAGATGACGTAGGGATACTCGGCTGACACATGCGCTCACTTCGCTTTCTTTCAAATCAGTATTGAACGCTTGCAAAATGCTTTTACGCTTCATATTGACTATTTACTGTCTTCCCTCACATTTGAGAAATACTGAAATCGAAGAGAACTTCCCTCGTCATCTACTTCTTGTCAAATAGGCTGCAATATTTGTTTAGCGATTTCTGAAGCCCTGCATAGAAGGTGTCACAACATACACAGGAATGGGCCGCTCTATAACTTAACACCATCAGAGTGTTATGCCTAAAGTTGGTGTTTTACATCTGTTGAAGGACTTTGGCATTTGCGACATAATATATGGGTACACCATGTGGGAAGGAATGGAAAGTAAATAGTACAAAGCTTTTATATATACCACCTATGCTATGTACGCAATCTCATTATCGACCTCTTCCAGACAGCGATTTGGACAGATGATTCATACTACTACCCTGTCAAATGTGCGTAGAGCTAAAAAGAGTTTCGTAACACCGCCATGAGTGCTTGGGTGGAAGTGCAACTGTGCAACCGAAGATAGAAAAATCTTCAGTCTACTACAGTTCTCTTAAAATGCGAGGGAGGGCCGTAAATAGTCGATAACAAACATGAAGGCATTCTGAAAGGCATTTCGCATCCCGTTTGGGAGACATTTTACGAAAAAGCAAAATGAGTACATGCGTCAAGGATCGGAACCCCCATGTAACATCTATGAGCCCACCCAATGAGTTTCCCTGTGTCATACCTGTGCAACTGCGCTATCAATGCAAAATGGATTGACTATTTGCTTCGCTTCGACACAGTGGTGTAACATAGAGCAAAACAGCTCCATAACTTTGTTCGCAGAATCGTCCAGCAGATTTGGAGAATGGATTCAAGCTCAGCGTTAAAATGCACTTCCGGCTGTGCATGCTTCACCTGAAATGGCTACTGCGACCGAGTACCCTACAATTGTTAGATAATATACGAAGCCGACAACTACTGGACTTCAAAGGGTAGCGCAGAGCGAAAACACTAATCAGTATCGATAGTTCCTCAATTTTAATCAATCGGAGAAGGCAGCTCGCCGTTTTAAACGGTCTTGCAAATCGACATGCCTTGAAATCATGACGGAAGATTTTTCGAAAAGAAAAGTCAGCCCAGTAAGGTAACAAAATGAAAGAATCTCTCTCTCTGATTCATAAAGCAGAAACTTGGTGTGTCGGTTTGTCGGTTTGGGTGTTTGTTGGTATGTCGATATGTCGGTATGTCGGTGTGTCCGTCCGCAAACGTTTATGATTACGATAAAGGTAGTGATATGTAAAACCCATTCTCTCAATGAAACTCTTACATTTCCGTCTTTACATATAAAGCAGTAAATGGATGGGTAGGTTAATGGAGTGGAGTGAGTTCTGCGTAATGTAGTGAGTATATAGTGAAGCCAGTAATGCGACCCTGGGACTTCTTACTGACAGTGTACAAGGCTACCCCATTCATTTTTTTCATTTTTTCCTCCTTCATTCACCACCCTTCCCATTTCACTATTTCACTCTAATAACGCGCATTAAAAATTCCCTCGCTCCTGCGGCAAAGTGGAGGCGATCGGCTGACCCATCATTTTCTTTTGAATTTATTTATCGGAGCGTAAGCGACACAACATATTGAGTTCCTCACGTACTGCCCTTTCCCCTTCCAGCATTTCTGTATAGAGATGTATCACCAACTAAAGATCTCAGAATCCTCTTTTCTTTGTCAGCTCCACAGCACCATCTCTATGACTCATTAACCTAGACCAACAAAACCTGAAAGGAATTTTGAATGGTTCTTATTATTGTTCTCGACTGTTCACAACACCACTATCAAGAGACCATGACCCATCCAGCTGATTTCCATATTTTGGTGGTTGAATTAGTTTTGTTGCAACTGACAAATGAATGAAAAGAAAACGCGATACCATTCATCCATGCAGATTTTGGTAATCTCTTAGCAAGGAATAGATCATCGGTAAATCTAGCAATTGAGTTCGAGCGAAAGTTTTGGAACGGTATCTCATCAAACATACGAATTTCGGGACACCCCCACGTAAATGCCCACTGAAAATGGTGGTTCTTACAGAACTGATTGTGTTGACTGTAGATGCTTCCAGAAAGAGCTTTGGGTTAGAGTGGTTGAAAGGTTTATCAGTTCTTCGTTTGATCCGAAATTTCCAGGATGTATGCTTCACGTGAGTATCCCGAACGAACATCAACACACAACTCGCCAGAGGAAATCAGATTCTTACAGATTCAAGGCATCCCTGACTCTGACTAATCTATGTGGTGTGGTGAGGTGAGGAACTGACACTCTCCGCAGAATTGAAATTTTGAAGAGGCTGCATCGGTAAATCTGGCTATTGAAATCGAGCGAAAATTTTGGGACGGTATGTACATCAAACATACGATTTTCGGGACACCCCCAGGTAAATGCCCACTGAAAATGGTGGTTCTTACAGAACTGATTGTGTTGACTGTAGATGCTCCCAGAAAGAGCATTTGGGTAGA